TGCTCCATATGGTTCCCAAGGAGCAGCTGGTGGATTCTAACAACTGCTAACCTTTTGGTTAGCAGCCAAACTCTTAACCACTGTGCCACCAGGTCTCCTGATGTACAATGGATGCTCCATAAATGTTTGATGACCAGTTAAGGATAGAAAAGCCCAGTCAAATTGCCACCCACAGTAGAAAGCATTTCTTCACCATCATCCTTGACTTATTGTTACTTTGACTCAAATTGAGCAGGTTCTATGACAGGGAGCCTCCTTTGTGAACCAGCCCGTGACATGCAGGGCAGCTATTCGGGGCTCTGGGCTCACAAGGCAGCTTGTGCCTTCACAGCTCCAGGGACAGTGAGTGATTTGGCATGTGGTCCAGGCGAGCTGTGTCTGTCGCAGCCTGCCTCCGTAAAGATTTACAGCCTTGGAAACCCTATAGGATCGGTATGAGTTGGAATCCACTTGATGTCAGTGGGCTTTTTTTTTTTTTTTTTTGGTGGATAAAATAAACCAAAGGAATTAAGCAGTCTATTGCTAATTTGCTAATTCAGTATTTGTTAAATGGTAAAGGCAAGTTCTTTTTTTTCCCCAAGTAAATTTCAGATTCAAACACCATTTATTGAGCACATCAATTGTACCAGGTAGTATAATAGGTGCTATGGTGCAGTGAATCACTTTTATATGGCTTTTCTAGCTGCAGTCTTGTAACTCCCACAAAATGATTGGCTGGGCCACAATCTTGCAAGGGATTAGTAAATTGTCTATGAAAATAGTGGTTTGATAATTCATCCAATAAAACTGAGCCCCTTGCAGCCCAACTAGGGGATGCATTCGTTTTGACATCCTGGTAGGCATATATCAAGGCCAATCCCACAGAGGTTCAGGGGGACCTCGCTATTATCAAGAGAGTCTGGAGTGGAGCGTGTCCTGCGGACATGCACAGGATCCCTGTGCTGTGAACCCCCTAGACCCAGAAGCGAGATCTGTAACACTGAAGATGGAGAGAGAGTGCTGTGGACTTGTCGGCCCACAGAGAGTACGCCAGTGGGTGCCTTGGGGCAGGAGGCTTGCCTGTGCAGCTAAAGACTTGTAACACTTGCCTGAACAGGGCACAGGCCTCAAGTGCCCCATGCGGGGTCGCTGACAGAGGCTCAGAAGATCCTGTGCAGAGGCCTTCTTCCTACGACGGGGTGGAGCTGGGTGTCTCCAAGCAGGTGCACAGCATGGTGGGAGCCATTCAGGCCCTTGAGTAGTGCAGGCCCAGGCAGCAAGAGAGAGAAGCATGCGGCCTGGGAAGCATGGCAGGAGCCAGCGGCAGAGGCCTACCAGGGCCCAGCACCAGAGCCTTCCGCCAACCCCACAGCGTGGTAGTAGCCTGAGCTGAGGCAGCAGTGACATCTGACCTGAACCACTGCGTGTCCACCCAGCAACCTAAGAATGGACATGGGTAATATGGGGAAGGGTAGGGCTTCCCTTTGAGAATGTTTTCTTGTTTACTGTTTGCTTTATATAATCAATAATAATGGCTTCTCCACACTGTGCAAGTGTCTTGTGAGTCCGGCTTGATCCTAGATGAATGTTGCGCCTGTGGAATGATGGATGCCAGTGGGTCTGAGTGTCTCATTCCTAGCAGCATTTTGGCTGCCTGGAAGTCAGAGGCTCAGTCTGTCTGCATGTGCAGTGTAGACAGATTCACACAGGTGCTTTGACATACATTATTTATTCCCCCAAACAATCCTGTGAGGGAAGAATTATATCCCCATTTTAATGTTGAGGAAGCTGATGCTCAGAGTGGTCAGGAAGCTCCCTTGCCTGGTCATGGAAGCGCCACAGACACATCCAAACTCCCTGAGGGACCGAATCACTGGGCTGAGGGCTGTGGGGATCAGCTCAACTGGCATAACAGTTTATAAAGAAAATGTTCTACATTCTACTTTGGTGAGTAGTGTCTGGGGTCTTAAAAGCTTGTAAGCGGCCATCTAATATACTCCACTGGTCTCACCCTGTTGGGAGCAAGGGAGAATGAAGAAAACCAAAGACACAAGGGAAAGATTAGTCCAAAGGACTAATGGACCACAAACTACCACAGCCTCCACCAGACTGAGTCCAGCACAACCAGATGGTGCCTAGCTACTACCACTGACCGCTCTGACGGGGATCTCAATAGAAGGCCTCAGATAGAGCTGGAAAAAAAATGTAGAACAAAATTCTCACAAAAAAAAAAAAAATCAGACTTACTGGTCTGATACAGACTGGAGAAACCCCGAGAGTATGGCTCCGGACACCCTTTTAGCTCAGTAATGTAGTCATTCCTGAGGTTCACCCTTCAGCCAAACATTAGACAGGCCCATAAAACAAAACGAGACTAAATGGGCACACCAGCCCTGGGGCAAGGACAAGAAGGCAGGAGGGGACAGGAAAGCTGGTAAAAGGGAACCTAAGGTTGAGAAGGGGAGAGTGTTGACATGTTGTGGGGTTGGCAACTAATGTCACAAAACAGTATGTGTACTAATTGTTTAATGAGAAGCTAGTTTATTCTGTAAACCTTCATCTACAGGAAAAAAAAAAAAAAAAAGCTCCCTTGCCTGAGGTCACCTAGGTAGTAGCCCTCAAATCAATAGAACCTTGGCCCCTGTGACATCAAACCCTTTACTCCTGCCACCAAAGTGTGTCCTCTCCGTTAACATTACTGATTCAGGAACATCAGACAACCCGTGACTTACCTCCTGTTTCCTGGTCCTTCTCCTTCTAGCTTTGGTTTCTACTCTAGTCTCTTCCCCTGAAGCTCTGTAAAGGGCCAGAGATGATCCTCACATGGAGCTAGTGTGGATGATGCACTCTGACACTAGGGTTGCTTGGAGGATAAAGGAGTTCTTCCCTGACCACTTGGGGCCCATCAAGTAAAGCAGGTTGAGGGGGCCACAGTAGCTGCTCCATTAACAATGACATGTTGAAATTTCTCTTGTTGCTGTTTGCTTTTTAAGTGGATTGGCAAAGACTCCTTATGGCTTTAGAGTGGCTTCCTGGCCACTGGCATCTGAGCTCAGCATTAACAATAAATCTAAGAAATTAGAATTAAAAAAAAAAGGAGACGTGCTCTCTAATTTGCCTTTATCCAGTGGTTTGTTAACTCAGGGCAAGGCTGACTATGCCAACAACTATATATATATATATAAATTGTATTTTACAACTGTGCTGTTATACAGATGAATGCTGAGACTGGATTATATTCTATTTTTCCTTATTTTAAAGAAACTAGAAACATTTGAAAACATGTTAAGTGAAATCAGTCAGTCACAAAAGGACAGATGCTGTATGATCCCACTTATATGAAATATCTAGAATTGGCAAACGTATAAAGACCAAAGTTCATTAGTGGTTACCAGGAGCAAGAAGGGGAAGAAGCAGGGAGGTCATTGCCTGGGGTGGGGGGCATGAGTTTCTGTTAAATGGAAAAATTTGGGAATGGAGAGTGGTGATGGCTGTACAACACAATGAACATAAGCTAACAATTGTACAAGTAAAAAATGTTGGAATGGTAAATGTTTTGTTATATATATTTGTACCATAATAAAACATATTTTATAACTGCACTAATATGAATGTTAGCTGAAGCAGGATTATATTCTTTTTTCTTCTTTCTGATTTTCAAAGAAACTAAAGCATTTTTATAGGTCCCTAAAGGCATCATGGGCCATAGCATACCCTGCCTACTGTGCCTAATAGATAAAGCAGTCTTGCTGATACTTCATACTGTGAGGTTGGATGTAAGGCTGAGCTTGTATTCTTTAACCCCTTTTGGCCATTGGAGGGTCGAAGTATTTAATAACTGACTTTACTCACTCAGGTATGCTCACCTGTGCAATGAGGGATGACACTGGACCCAGAGAACCTGGTGGTTGACAGCCTTCCCCTTTCACTATCTTTTCTCACTCTCACAATCCCTCTGTGCAGGCAGCTGGGATCTCTTGCTGTTTCATAATCTCTATAGAATCAGGGAGGAGCCTGGTGGTGTAATAGTGCCTAAGTGAAAGGCTGGAGGTTTGAACCCACCCAATGGCTCTGCGGGAGGAAGAACTGGAGATCTGCTTTGTAAAGATTATAGCCAGGAAAACCCTATGGGGCAGTTCTACTCTGTCACATGGGACTGCTATGACCAGCACCCAACAACAACCTAAAATCAGGAAATTAACTCCCATCACAATTTACACTTAGGAATCCATTCACACTAATGTCTTAACTCTCTTCTCAGGTATCTCTGTGTCAAAGACTTACCTCTAACTGAATTAAATGCTTTGTCTCAGCACAGCAGCTTTCAAACATTTCTGTCAACAGTCTACACTAAGAAATACATTTCATATCAAGCCCAGTACATACACACATATACAACAGAAAAATTTTTGTCAAATATACTTACCTTGAAATAATACTTTTCCTGGAAGGTTTCACAAAATAATACTTATATTTACTATTGCAATTCACTGAAACAATCTATCCTATTTTAAAAAACTGCTTATCTCACTAAATTGATTTTGCAATTCACTAATGGGACACAACCTGCAGACTGAAAAGCACCCAGCTGAAGGAGTCACAAGTATCAAAAATAAAACACATGAAGAAAAAGACATACCTATGCCTACAATAAGAATGTACCTTATTTGAGTAATGGACATCTTACCCTTAACCCCAACGTCCCTGCCCTGATCTATTTGATGGAGTATTGCCAATAAGGTGTCCTTCTCATTATCCATTCAGTCAAGTATTTGATGAACATCTATTATGTGCTGGGCATCGACTGAGGATTTGCGAATACAGCAATAGTCTCTACCATCACGGAGTTACATACCAGCTGAGGAAGACAGACAATGATCAAGTCAGTCAGTCAATATGTAGTGGAGAGATGTGATAAGTGCTACAGAAGTGTTCTTCTCAGACCCTTTTCCTGGGCATGCTCACATAACAACACCTTCCTCTTTAAGGAAGACTTTTTTTTTTTTTTTTTTTTTAATTTATCGATACTATCAGTCTGAAGACAGAAGAATGGGGCCAGGAGTCAATTAGTCCCAAGAGGTTAAGTTGCATATCTTTTCTACTGTGTATTTGTTTCATACTTGGTTACTCAGAGATCAATATGTCTCCAATTTCCAAATTCATACTTAGACAATAATGGTAATAGCTCTCCCCAGGTCTTCTTGCAAATGTAATGAGAATGGGATCAATTTCACCTACCCAAGCTTTTAGTCACTCTTTCAGGAGTCAGTAGCATCTCATCCTTTTTATTCCCAGGACTGGTGTTCCTAGATGTTCCAGTTCCTTCCATAAGGGGGCCTCATATTTGACCACCTACTTTTCTCCTGGTTGGTGTCCTGCTCTGGATGACAGATTAACCAGTGAAAATTCTGCAGGTATCAGAAGTGAGATCATGTTGGAAAAAGGGCAGAATCCACCCAATGGACCCATTAGGCCAGGGGTTGGCAAATTTCTTCTGTAAATAGTAAATATTTTCCGTTTTGCAGGCCATACAGTCTCTGCCACTAACCCTGAAGTAGTCAGACATTATATAAACAAATGCATGTGGCAGTGCCCCAATAAAATTTTATTTGCAGTTTGCTGACCCCTGGTTTAGGCCAATAGAGACTGGGGCTTACATTTGAGACTGACTGAAAGAACGGGGTGGAGAAGAAAACGATGAACAAAGGCAGTGAGGAAAGAAGTCCTACAAATGACAAGGGGCCAGGGCGGCCAGAGAACAATGTGCATGAAAGAAGGTGGCAAGAGACTTTGAAATTTAATTCGGAAGAACCAGTGCATTTACAAGCATGTACAAATTGGCCTTTTATGGCTCCATCTTTTATTTAAAAATCATTCCATTTAAAAAATATTTTTGAAATATCAGTTAAAAATTCATCTATTAGAATCACAAAGTCCTTCCTTGTATCAAAAGTTGAGCCACTATCCTGGTTACTTGTGGATTCACCAAACAGTCTAGCAAGTCATCTGTAGAAATGAATGTTTGAGAAGGGGCCACAGTACTATTTGAAGCAATTTGTTCCACAATTGCATTCTTGCTTTTATACATCATTCGTTGCCTCTTTGTACAATGTGATTTTCCAAAGTGTTCGCCATCCAAACTGTTGCCATCACTTTCAAAAATGCGTCCCCTTTCTGTGGATGGTTCTTCAGAACTTGGCATCACAGGAACCAGATCAGGGCCAAAGGGACTTGCTGCCTCCTGTTTTACGGTTCCCGTGGTTAAGTTCTGGCTATGTGGTTGTTCCACCTCCATGTGGTTGTGAACATTTAATCCTTCTGTTTTCGTGTGCTCTCCATTTGTTCCTAATGCTTCAATATCAACCTTCTTCGACGTTCTGTAATGATCAAAAAGAGCTGAAACAGCTTCATTTAAGTAGCGACAATTGATTTCATGGGATGTTTCCTCAATCTAAGGAGAAAGAAAAACCCTTTAGAATGGTCATGTGCATTTAGTTAAATTGGAAAACAAATGTTTTAGTCAGGGTTGATTTATCACAGAAAACTGCCACGATGAAGCGGCCTACCTCAGTTGGGTTTAACCACGCTTTGGTATTGTCTGGATCCTCTGCGGTTTTCAGAGCGCATACAAGCATACGGGTGATCGCCTCTTCTACCCGGGCTTGGTGGTCCTCTTCCTAAGTTGAGACAAAAACATATTTTTATCATTTGTCTGTGTCTCATGGCTTAAAACAAAAACAAACCCACTGCTGTTGAGTCGATTCAGACTCATGGCGACCCCATGTGCTTTAGAGTAGAACTGCGCTCCAGAGGGTTTTCTAGGCTGTCATCTTATGGAAGTAAGTCATCAAGCCTTTCTTCCACAGTGTTGCTGGGTGGATTCGAACAGCCAATGTTTTAGTTAGTAGCCTAGAGCAAACGATTTGTGCCACTCAGGGACCAAAGGCCAGGGACCAAAAATAGACAGTAGAGTAACTGTATGTTCTACTCTTTCATTAATATAAACTTCATTACAGAAGGAACAAATATGCAATTGGAAGAAACACAATTTTTATGTATTCACTATCGCCTGCCATCTAGTAGATATCCTGCTGTAAGACTTAGGCCTTAAGTATGAACCATCTTATGACACTTCTTCTGATCTTTTCCATTTTTTGACATGTTTTTAAAGTTAAAAAAAAAAAAAAAGTACTACCTACAGAGGAATAATCCCTACAGAGTTTAATAAACAAACTGTTTGAAGGCTGGGAGAAAAATTATAATGAATATACTTAACCAAAAGAATGAGATGACTAACCATCTTAACATGGTTTTCTTAAGATACAGTAAGTATAAACCACAGCACTAATGATAAATTACATTAAAATCAACAACTTCTGTTCATCAAAAGACACCATAATTCGGGGGGAGGACTTGCTGTCTACAACATATAACTGATAAGAGATTAATATCCAGAATATATAAAGAATCTACGCACATCCATAAGACAAACATCCCAACTTAAAAAAATAGGCAAAAGACATGAACAAGCATTTCAAAAAGGACCGATCATATGAACAATAAACATATGAAAATATGCTTAACCTCATTAATAACCAGAGAAATGCAGACTGGGAAACCCAAGAAACTGGCAAAAGTTAGGAGGTCTGATAATACCAAGTAGTGCAGAAATGTGCATTTACAGACAAGAGTTTTCCACACTGATGGTAGGAATGCAAACTGATACAGCCATTTGGAAAACATGTTGGCATTATCTTGTAAGGTTAAATATTATATACCCTACAGATCAACAATTCCATTCATATGTGTACACACACACACACACACACACACACACACAATCCCTGGAGAAACTCTTGCACATGTGTACTAGGAGACTTGTACAAGAATATTCTGTTCATAATAGCAGAAAAATAGAAATAATACAATTATCCATCAACAGAACAATGGACAAAAAATTGTGGTACATTAATACAAGAGAATATTATACCACAGTGACAATGAAGGAACAACAGCTACATGGGACCACACAGACGAATCTTAGAAACGTACCATTAACTTTAAAAAACAAAATCCCCATGGTGAGACACCACTTCACACCCACTAGGATGGCTATAAGCAAAAAGACAGATAAGAACAAGTGCTTGTGAAGATGAGAAACTGGAACTCATCATATGCTGCTGGTGCAGTTACTTTGGAAAACAGCCTGGCAGTTCTTCAAAAGATTAAAAAAGTTATCATATCCAGCAATCTCATTCCTAGGTATATACCCATGAGAACTAAAAACATATGTTCACACAGAAACTTGTACATAGTAGTATTATTCATAGTAGCCAAAAAGAAGAAACAACTCAAATGTCCATTAGCTGATGAACAGCTAAACAAAATGTGGTATATCATACAGTGGAATATTATTCAATGATAAAAAGAAATGAAGTACTGATACATAGATGAACTCCAAAAACATTATGCTAAATGAAAGAAGTCACAAAAGACCATGTATTGCATGATTCCATTTATATGAAATGTCCAGAACTGGCAAATCTACACAGACTTATATCTCAATAAAGCTGCTGGACTTGACTTGATGGCAGATGGTAATTAAAGCTGTTATTTAAAAACAAAAAAGCAAGTCCTAGAAGACTACATTAACTATGATTTCATTTGTATAAAGCTCAAAATCAAGCACAACTAAGCATATATTGCATACAGATATGTAAATGTGATAGAACTTTTTTTTAATTGTACTTTAGATGAAGGTTTACAGAGCAAATTAGTTTCTCATTAAACAATTCATACACATATTGTTTTGTGACATTGGTTGCCAACCCCACAACATGTCAACACTCTCCCCTTCTTGACCTTGGGTTCCCTATTACCAGCTTTTTCCTGTCCCCTTCTGCCTTCTCGTCCTTGCCCCGGGCTACTGTGCCTCTTTAGTCTCATTCTGTTTTATGGGCCTGTCTAATCTTTGGCTGAAGGGTGAACCTCAGGAGTGACTTTAGTACTGAGTTAAAAGGGTGTCCAGGGGCCGTACTCTTGGGTTTTCTCCAGTCTCTGTCAGGCCAGTAAGCCTTGTCTTTTTTTGTGAGTTAGAATTTTGTTCTACATTTTTCTCCAGCTCTGTCCAGGACCCTCTATTGTGATCCCTGTCGGAGGAGTCAGTGGTGGTAGCCAGGCACCATCTAGTTGTGCTGGACTCAGTCTGGTAGAGGCTGTGGAGGTTGTGGTCCATTAGTCCTTTGGACTAATCTTTCCCTTGTGTGTTTGGTTTTCTTCATTCTCCCTTGCTCCAGACAGGGTGAGACCAGTGGATGGTCGCTCACAAACTTTTAAAGCCCTAGACACTACTCACCAAAGCAGGATGTAGAATGTTTTATGTATAGACAATGTTATGCCAATTGAACTAGATGTTTTCCCTGAGAGCCCTGAGCCAGTAATTCAGTCCCTCAGGGGAAGTCTTTTTTTTTTCTTAAGCAAGACAATGAGAATAGTGAAGGGAGTAGACAGGGACGACATGTGGAAGAGCACAACATAGATGCAAGTGATGGTAACATTCTAGTTTTGGGGTTAGGTGATGGGTTCACTGGTATTTGTCATATCATTATCCTTTATATCTTACCAACATGCCACATGTATATTCTTTTATATATATAAATATGATACAAGATGTAATAAAGGAAAAACGAGAGTGATAGGAAAGCCTTTAATAATTAACAAAAATATTTTCCAAGAAAGTTTGAAAAAACATAGTTATAAAAATATTTCAATACTTATAGAATAAGGAGGTAGAAAGGATGATATAGGCACCATTGAGAAGGACTGAAAATATCCTTTCTCCCCAAGAATATATTACAACAGACATTGCATTTCCTTATCAGAGAAACTGAGAAGGGATGAATATTGCATCACCTAAACACAACTAGAATCTCTACTCTTCTCCAAATCTATGGGACTCTTGACAGGAAGACTAGAGCCTGGAGTCAGCTTGAGACATATGTATATGGTAGACTTTAAACCTATGGGCCTTTGAAGTTAAACGTGGCAACAAGAAGGAGAAGGAAGAATTATTACCTAGTGCTTGAAGAGACAATGATAAAAGCACCACTTCACAGAGGAAGATATAATTACTCAACTTCTATTTTTCTTTCTAGTTTTTCAAGTAAGAATGAATGGTCTTCAAACTGTGACGTGTACAGAAAGAAGTTAAAGAAACTGTAGTCTTAGCTTTAAGGTGGAGTCCACTTTAAATCAGTATGAAGTCTTTAAATATCAAACTTGTGGATACCACCTTGAAACCTGTTTATACTTAATGATACCAATCCTTTGTAAAAATCCAGAGACACAACTAAACAGATAATATACAACCAGCTTTTAAAAAGACCATGGTGAAAGCACCAAAGCTTCTGAGGCCATGTAAATTCAAATCTCTCCACATATCCTTCCAAAAACCAGAGCAATCAGCAAAGAGAGAACACCCCATCACCATTAGCCCACGCCTACAGTGTAACTAGGAAAAAGGAAATATAATAAACTCTAATTAAATGTAAGCAAGGAATTAAATACTGAAGACTAGCAAAGCTGGCTCCAGAGCCCACACTGAAGACAAGTGTCTGGTGGAGACTGTGGAAGAAGGGTGGCAGCATCCAAATGGTAACACTAACTAGAATTCACCCCGGAAGGAGAAAGACCCTCCTTAGGTAGGGAAATACTGGCATCTCCCATTTAACATCAGTAATTGTTTCTAAAAATCAGATACTCTATATAAAAATGCTAACGAGCAGTCTATTTCCTAGTAGTTGAAATGGGAAAAATTATAATGCATTATGTATCAAACCCAAACCCTATTCTCTAAAGAGTGACTAAAACACAGTAAAATACCTACATATAAGTACCAAACTATAATACTAAGATGTAAAAATCTTTCTGATTACCAAATAATGAATATGGTTGTTAATAACATTTGCTTATTACATGTTACTGCATGCAATATTGCATGCAGTAATATGTAACAACATATATTACTATACATAATATTTAATAACATATATTATACATATACAACAATAATATATGCAGATATATGGCCTTTCTCAGCACCAGTAAGAGCCGGGAGGCACATCCTCTTTGTTGACACTCTGCGTGCTTTTCAAAACTTCTGTGTGTAATTCTGATGTATTATCAACTGTATTTATGGAGCCCTGGTGGCGCAATGGTTAAGAGCTCAGCTGCCAACCACAAGGTCGGAAGTTTGAATCCACCAGCCACTCCTTGGAAACCCTATGGGGTAGTTCTAGTCCGTCTTATGAGTCGGAATTGACTCGATGGCAGTGGGTATTTTATCAACTGTATTTAGAATGTGTTTTCAAAATTTTCCCATAGATAATTTTCTAAAAATGTATTTGGTTTGGGGGAAGTACAGGTAAATGTTTCATATAAAAATCTGTCAAAGAAAGTATAGAAATGAGAGATACATACATTCTACAGAGTTTGAGTATTAAGCACCAAAAGGTACTCTATTGGGAAAACTTTAGCTGGTATGTCTATCCTGAAAGCAGGTCTGAGACCTGGTGAATCAGAGCATGCCCACTGAACAGCTGAGAGGAAGGGGATGGGAAATGTGTAGCACCAGAAGTTGTAGTCTTAGGAAGACACTACTTAGGAGAGAAAGTACCAG